ATAATTAGCATAATGAAGAAAATACCTTCATAATGACAAAAACAGCATCAATATTGCACCAGAAATATTCAGCAAGCACCTTTCTACACATGAAATTTGGGTGGCTTGTGCTGGCCTTTATCCAAAAATTTAGATTGTGCCTAGATGCTCTGGAGCCAACAGATACAATAGAAATTCCCAAAGTATCAATTACAGATGACTCATGCTCTGCATGGTAAAAGGGCCTTTCTTTGAAGAAAGAACTATTTAGCTTCCATTATGAGTGCATTTTTTACACTTTATGAGCCAGGCCCTGTGTCTAGGTGCATTTTTCAGAGAGCTAACAGACTAACAGATACAGAGCAATTAAGTAACCATTTATAAACTCAGAGTGTGTTTAAATCCAAGTGAATGTCATGGTTTGATACTAAAGAGAGGTCAGATGAAAGAAAAGATGAAGCCACCAATGGGCAACAGATTGCAGTCTTCATCTCTGTGGAGTTAGAGCTCCCTTTTTAAATACAAGAACAGGGACCTCTATTGGATAAATGGAGAGGTACAGACCTTGCAATATGGGTTTTGGCTAGAAATTCCTATAGACTTGTACTTCAAGGGCCAACATGAAATAAATTATGTTGAAAGGAATCTAAGGGCCAAGCAACATAGAGATATTTGCCGTCATAGTTCAGATGAACAGATAGCTCCAACCAGTACCATTCATAGATCCGAGTGTATGAGGGTCCTTTAGATTCCTTGGCCAGAGACTTAGGGAGCCTCACACTATTATCCCTCTCTGGTGTCTGGGAGAGTCTAGGGCTGGCCGTGCTATCTGGGCAGGACACTCTTAGCCAAGAAGCCAAGATTTGGGCCTGTGTGGGTCTAATCACTGAAAGCACTGATTATTTTATTTTATTTTACCTTATTTATTTTTTTTTAAGATTTTATTTATTTGACAGAGACACAGCGAGAGAGGGAACACAAGCAGGGGGAATGGGAGGAGAAGCAGGCTTCCCGCGGAGCAGGGAGCCCGATGCGGGATTCGATCCCAGGACCCTGGGATCATGACCTGAGCCGGAGGCAGACGCTTAACGACTGAGCCACCCAGGCACCCTATTTTACTTTATTTTATTTTATTAATTATTATTATTATTATTTTACCTTTCAGACCCTGGGACAAACCAGGGAGGCAGTGCCATCTGGGCATGGTGCCTGATCCAAGCAAACCATGTGGATTTGGGTCCCTCTTTCTCCCCTTCAGAATGTACCTTGACCCTCTTTCCCGTGCTTGGGGTCAACCAGATATCTCAGGGAGCCCAGAAACTTACACCCATGAGGTTGTTCTGGGCCAGTGGCCCACCTAACTCTGGTTGTAGGAAGGTAATCTGACAAGTGAATCACTCACTCCTGCTGTCTGGAATGCTATTGTATGATGTTGGACCACTAGATTGTTGTCCCGCTGATGTGGGGTTACTCAAAATGTTTACAAAGAAAATGAGGTGGAAAAAATATTTGAGTGGGACCCTCACATCCTAGGAGTGGTCCTGTGTCCAACAATTTCAACTAAAAGAGCTCACCAATGTAAGTGTGCTTAGTGATAACCTAGAGAACTTCATTGAGGGCAAGAATTTTGACTTGGGCATTTGCATGCACAACTACTAGGTGGTCACTGCCAAATGATAAGCAATTTATTATCTGAGTAATCCATTGAATCATGAAACTCAAGCCTTCAATGTCTGAGTGCCTCATGCCATGAGAGAGTGGAGAGTTAATGATGCTCTCTTCACATTCCTTTTTTTTTTAAAAGATTTTATTTATTTGTCATAGAGGAAGAGAGAGACAGAGAGCAAGCACAAGAAGCTGGAGCGGCAGGCAGAAGGAGAAGCAGGCTCCCCGCGAAATAGAAAGGAGCCCAATGAGGGACTCGATCCCGGAACCCTGGGATCATGACCTGAGCTGAAGGCAGCTGCTTAACTGACTGAGCCGCTCAGGCATCCCTCTCTTCACATTCCTAATGAACCTCCCATAGAGTGAGTAACCCCTAGCTTCCACAGGCTAGTGTTTCATATCAGGGTCACTCTTGCCATTTTAAGGATAGGCTAAAGGATTTTCTACTCATTAAAGAATTTAGAATCCTTGTTCCCTGCCCAATATGTATCAGTTGCCCTTTGCAGTCACTGTGACATTTGAAAATGTGCCTCCCTCAACATATGCAAAAATTAATTTCCTTCTGGAGATTGGTACTGTCTTTAGTTTAGAACCATCAGTATAGAGAGAGCTGTCCAACAGAAATATAATTCAAGCCACAAATGTGAGTCACATATATAATTTTTAATTTTCTAGTAGCTACATTAAGTAAAAAAAAGACCATTGAGATAAGTTTTAATATTTTATTTATGTCAATATACCAGAATATTTCAACATGTAATCAACATAAAATTATTAGATATCCTATGTTCTTTTGCATTATGTTTTCAAAAGCATACGTGTATTTTATACTTCCAACACTTAATTTGGACCAGCCACATTTCAAGTGCTTCGTAGCTCTGTATGACTAGTGAATAAAATGTTAGTATCGATAAACAGACAGATTCGTAAAGTCCACATAGCCATATGAACCCACTACTACCTGGACAAGAATAAGGCAGACACTCTCCAGAGTCAGATGATCATCCATAGAGTAAGAGTTCATCAGCTGGTTTGGCTTAGATCATTCTTACCAATAGCTGGAAACTGAACTTTGCTGGATCAGTTCTATGAAAGAAGGTTCTCATCCAGAATTATTTTAATTGGGCTAAAAAAATGCACCTGATTAGACTTTTGCACCTGCTTAAGGGTACTGTCCTACATGTGATCCTTAAAAATAATTTTACCTACTATGGCCATAAATGTTATTTTGAAAGAGGATATAGCTGTAATTCTCTATTAAATGCTCTATTCAAAGGATATTAGATTTTGAAGTATTCAGAGTATTTCCAAGCTCCTCATGCTTTTTATTTTTATAGTTTTATTTATGAGAAACAAATTCTAATATCTTTTTTTTCTGGGTCAAGATTTGACTCACAATATTCTTCCAGAGCTGTCTTTGTACCTCCCTCCCAGAGATACATTTGTACCTCCCTCCCAGAGATACATTTATTTTAAAATGTTAGTTTTGCTAATTAAAATGGGTTCTTGAAAAAAAAATTGAAATCATAATTTAGATATTCTTTGCTCAGAAAAAATAGAAAGCCTGATTCATACAACCACTCACTGGTTTTATTTAATGGGTCTACCTCATCAATCTCTATGTCCCCATCTGGACTGATCAAGAATTTTGTAACTTTTAAGTGAATCATTCATTTCCATTTCCATTTCAAGAGAACAATTTTATTGTTACTTGCAGACTGTGAATAATAATTTATGGATATACAGTAAGGCAAGTACACTGATGAGAGAAATGAATGAAAATACCCACTCACTGTGCATAAATGGAAAATCTCACATTTAAAATAAATGACCCCCAAGAGTCCTTCATTCAGCTAGTGGATGCTTTTCCTAATGGTACCAACAATGAAATTCTTTCATAATAAAAATTATTTAAGTATTAATTACACATGTGCATAATAATAAAATAAATTTTGGTACTCAGATTCAAAATTATTGACTAGATCTAGACAACAGTCGCGGTTTTCAATTAAAGAGGACTTTGTTACAATTATACAATTCAGTAAGAGAGTTACTAGGCTATGAGATTAACATTTATGCCAATGCTGCAGAATTTATAGCATCAGGTATTATAGATTGTTTGCTAAAATAAATTATGAAAAGCAGTAACAACAAAATTTGTCACTGGTGCTTTAATAAGATATTTCATTTCACTAGAAAAACCATAACCTGGTCAAGCCCTGCAAATGTGAAGTCAGGAAATTACAATGACAGAATAGTAAAAATTGGCTTTAATAATTTTATTTATTGATATATTGGTGATATTTGTGTGTGTGTGTACATGTGTGCATGTGTGTGTAGTCTTTGTAAGGGTTAGTATTAGCTTGAGTCTTTCTACCTAATCTTGAGCTTAACTGGAATTTAAATCCCTTACACTTAAAAAATATGTATACCTTAACCCACTTAAAAGTAGTGAACATTTTTTCATGTACCTTGGCTTCATGTTTTCTTGCATGCAGTAAATATGAGAGAAAACAGAGCCCAGGATTAAGTTCTCATTTTTCAATTGTAACAAGAATTTATTAATTAATTATATGTTTATGGATCCTGAATGAAATAACTGCATTGTAAAATGTGTAATTCTTTGTTTGATGCCCAACATACTTTTTTTTCTTCTTCCTTTCCCTGCAAGGTTATGTATATTGCATATTTTCCAGCACCAATAAAAATGACACTAAACTAAATAATCTATGGCTTGCTGAGTAAAAGCAGTTCTTACTAAGATCTTTTGAAGACATGATTTTTTCCAGATGTCATTATAAAATTTACAAAACAAAAGAAAACCTGCCAGAACATAAGCAGTTCTGGAAGTAGGGCTTATACTGAAGGATATAGGAGTCAGCTACGTGAGGAAAAGATGATTCCAAAAGCAGGATATGAAAAATCTTTAGATATCAGCAAATGCCTCTACGTCCCCTTGGCTTGGAATTGAAGACATGCACCTGATTGGGTTCATTGGGCTATGTCACATTTTTCAAATGTTGAAAGAAACCTCACGCACTACACCCATATTTGCTCTTGTTTTTCGTAAGAAGAAAAAAGGACCTTGAAGCTCGCAGACTGTATTTATCCATGTATTTATTATGTATTATGTTGCTGCTGGGTGCAGTTGAATAGGAGGCTAATAGGGTACCTTTTCTTTTCATTCTCTCAGTGTTTGTTCATTTATGTACCCCTGCCATTTTACACATGTTGGGTTGGAAATATAAAGACGATCTGAGAAAGAAAAAAGAATACATGGTATTGAACTGTTGATCAACTAACTTTTAAATGGACACAATGTATCCAACCTAATATGAATAGTTACTTCTTCACAGGAGGCTTTATGGAGACTGAGGCTGCTGCTCAGGAGTCCCTGGGGCTAGGCAAACTTGGAACTCAAGCTGAGAAGGATAGAAGACTGAAGAAAAAGTAGGTTTGGAGATTTTCATCTTCCTTTTTCTAGCTTTTACTGACTCTTTCTTATTTGTGGGGAATTAAAAAGACAGTAGTTGGAAACAATAGACCAAGGCCACTGTTGTCCTAGTATTCCCTAAAACTACTCAGTGCTGGAATTTCCTGGTTCTACTGAGCTACAGTTTGAAATAGGTATACAACTCTTTGGCCTATAATAGAAATAAACAGTTTATTCTAAGAGACCAATGCATTTATTGGCAAAACTCATATATATTTAAAGTATTTAAGTGTAGCCTCATAAGTAATATAATAATCTATTTGATGTTAAATCCAGTACTGAATTGGTATATGATAAAATGAGAAACTATACATCCAACTTTGTGTTTCCTCTTACAACAATTAAAGTACCTCCTCTTAAATTGGAGTATTTAAAAGGAGAATTTCTCTGACTGATTGAACATAAACTTATTTTAGACCCAGAGCAGATTGTTTTGCATCTGTCAGGAAACTGATAGTGTATCTTTTTCATTCACATATAGTATGGAACATTTAAGTGACTTGCAAAATTGGCAAATTTTGAGTCTCAGCAGCTGTTAGAAAGCTAGTGGGTCTATAAATAACATATTTTTAAAATACAAAATAGCATTTTCAGGGATGAAATAATACCTATAAAACATGTTCTCTAAAAGCCAAAGGATTTCGGTATTCCAGAATCTGTCGGTTGGTTACTCCTTTACCTCTCCTCCCTCTCAAATATTTGTTTGTAGTTTTCATGTTTACCTTCTTTCCTATGAAATAATATTCATTGCTCTGGTTACCACTATTATAACAGGTATGCTCGTATGGTTATAGTATTTGAGATAATCAGTTGACTCCATATTTTGTTTTCTCATTTGCTTTACAGATGTTTACTAATAATGAGGAAATACAGACTTGCAAGTTGTAGAAGAGCTCACTAGCCTAATTATTTCATTAATTTTCCACTTATTAAAATTATGTATGTATATATATATATGTATCCAAATTTAATAGAAACACTGTGTAGAAATAAAGAAGTGACCTTGAGAGCATTATTTCTTAAAAACAACCAAATGCTCGATTGCATTCAGTAGCAATAAATATTTCTTCTTTCATTACTGATCACTCAAAAATATAATTAAATATTATCACAATCTGTTCGAACTCTCTTAATTTTATTCATTACTATCAAGGAATGCTTTATTCAATTTTATGGCTATTTACTGAGAAAAAAATTCTTCTAAAAATCTCTTTTGATAGATTCTTTAGAATTTATTTCAAGTCTAAAGAACTTCCAATTTTATTTATTTAAAATTATTTTAAGTCTAAAGGAATAAGACTAATTAAAACCCAGGCTGGCTAATAAACTTGGTTTATTTCACTTAAAAGTTAATTTTCATTTTTTCTATAATGAAATATTTATATATAATGGCAACTTGACCAATTTTCACATTGCGAAGGGTGATATTGAGGCAAGTAATATATGTCGTTGGTTGTTTATGGAACTAAGTATGTCTTTTTTAACAGTTACTAAAGTTAAACATTTCCAATTATGCAGTGATTTTAAGACTAATATATTTAAAATTTATTATTAATTTTAAACACTGTTGGATTAACTTAATGTTAATTTTATGGAATTATTTCTCAAATCCTAACTACCCTCATAGTCAGAAACCGATTTTAGTTCTAGATTTGGTTTGAAGATTTTACTATAGTTGACTTTTGAGTTCTATTTTGTAAAATGTTTTGGCAAAATATAATTTTAAAATGTATTAAATAAAATATTTGTATTTAATATTAAGAAGAATATTAAGAACATTCTATAATATAATAAAGGATAACATTTCTCAGTACATTTCCTATAGGATAATGGTATTTGGGTTCAAATGAATCCAACAAGGCAAGGCAGAGTTAATTAATGGAAGAACAGAAGTATTTCTGTTATTATTGATTATTCCATGGCAAGTACCTCAGGAGTATAAATATGTAACCAGTATTTATGAGACATATATAAGTGCTAACCCTTATTCAGGACTTGAATGACACTACACCTTGGTTTCTGGATTACCGAAGAGTGAAGTGTCTTTATGTAATGAGTTTTATAAGATAGACAAGATCAATTATTTCATGTTTATTGGTCTTTCAAGATGGATAAGAAATTCAGGTACATTTTACTGAAAAATGAACTAAAGCAAAAATGGAGCAATTTCTTTGAAAATATTGAACACTATCGGTTTATGTGCATAGTTGGAATGACTGTAGTTGTAAATGTTCCTCACTGTAGTTGTTGCTGTATGTTCTATCCACTGACCAAGCCAAATGATGTTTCCAGGACAAAGTACTTAGCTTAGGCCTATGTTCACTGTCCCAAAGTTTATATCAGAGCTTCATTAGTCTCAGTGGGAATAAGCAGAGCTGAAGAAAAATAAAAATCTTCTTTTCAACTTTACTAGTATATCAGGTATCTACAGTTGACAATCTGTGAATTGAAATTTAATTGAGAGAAATGTTATCTCAAGAAGTTAGCTATGACACATTTTTTAAAAACCATATGTGGGAGATACTTTCAGAGAACAGCACTCAAGATATTCCAAATTCTTGCAAAGTTCAGAAATTTGTAATGTTGGCAGTCCCAAACAAAGGTCTAATTTGAGGCACATTTCCCATCCAACAAATTAAGCACACGCAGGTTAGAACAGCTTACTGGGTCTGGGTCCCTACTTCATTCTACTTTTACTTCGCTTTGGATGTAGGAATGTGTTTTTTCTTGCATTTCTTGTTATTTTCCTATGATTAGACATAGGACTGGTACAATAGCGGATCTTCTAAAGCACCCACTGTTCAAGAAAATCTTGTTGACCTTTCCCTTCCTGGGTTCGATCTTACCATGCAGGTGCTATTCGATCAGAGCACCACCTTATCTAGGCCTGAAGCCCATCTACTATTGTTCTGTCTGGTTTGCTTTTACTATGCCTATCTTTGCTGTTCTTTCCTTTAAAGCTTTAATTACATTAATTGTTCTGGTAGGTTTATATAGTATACAGTTAATACCTACAATAATTGTGTAAAATTGAAACTCATCTAGTAATTCTTCAAGTACTTCACATTAATTTCTGGTCTTCCCTGCTAAAATTGAACAGTTTTTCTGTAGCCTCATGATACAGCTCTCCTAATCTTTAAGCACTGAGTCACTTATTCTCAGTATGTTCTCTCCACATTAAAATTGTGATTCTCATAGTTTTCTTGATGTGGGCTCCTTCTGGAGTATCACAGCTCTCTGAGATCTTGTCCATCATCCTTTGTTTGATTTCAATGGACTCCAGGCACCTTCTCTAACTTAACACATACTAAATGGCATCTCCATTTCTAAAATTCACATTATGAGCAACTAGCCCTGAGAATTTCACCTCTCCCCTTTTATACCTGTCACCCTGATCTTTAGGAACTTATTCCTCCTTCTTAGCTCTCCAGCCAATGTTTTAATCTAAGATCTACAGCTACTTGCTCAAGATGGCCAACTAAAGCCAGCCACACAACTACAAAAGGTAACTGGGGCATGATAGAAACTATTGCAAGGTCACAAACTTACATGGTCTGGCCCATCAAAATCTGAATTTCTTTTTATTGTTGTTTTGTCTGAGCATAATAATTTTATTGAAATATAATTAACATACAATGTTTTATTAGTTTCAAGTGTACAACATATTGATTCAACAATTATGTAGCTTATGCAGTGCTGAATTTCTAAATGTTCTTTAACTCCCCAAATTTTCCTTAGAGTTTAGATGTGGGTCTTTTAGGACCCAATAACTAGAAACTGTTCTTTGCCTAAGTTTAGAACCTATTTGATAATAGACAAAGGAGTCAGGCAATTAGAGATCAAAATGTCAACTTTATTACCAATCGAGCTATTAGAATATGACTTACGAGTATGGCAAAAATGGGGCTTTCCCAAAACTGAAGCCCAGAATTAGAAAAACTTAACCTGACATGGAAAGAGCTTGATTGTCACAAGCTTCCAAAGTGTGCAAGTATAATTCCCACCTCTCCTAAAAATAGAATCGATAATATTATGATTCTGTAAATGTGTCTCTCTAGAATCAAGGACTATGAACTCACAAGGAAGGAAATGAAATTTTATGTCATTAGCATCTAAAAGAATTTTCAAAGTTTAACATTTCAATGTTAAATGTATTAATATCTCATCATACTTCTTGCCTTTATTTTCCTGGAATATACATAGCTGACAATTTCCCATCACCATTTCTAGAAATGTGATGCTAGGGTGTATGGCAATCTCCCTGAGTTTTTAGAGAATCTGGAAATATATTTTACATATAAAATTAGTTAATAATTGCCAAAAGTGTAAAACTATTGGTTCAAAGTGATTTTCTCTCAAAACTTTAAAGGTACTGTTCTTCTTGCTTCTAGTTATATCTAATACCAATTGATTGTCATTCTTTTGTATATAACATGTAGGGTTTCTTTTCTCTCCCTGAAAGTTTTAAGATTTTTCTCTTTATCTTTGGGGTTCAGAAATATCATAAGTATTTCTAGTCAAATATTTTTTGTTTCTTTTTTCTGCTTTATACTTGCAATCTGAAGACTAGTCTGGCCTGTTTTACATGTATTGACTTAAAAATTGTTCACTTCTAGACTCAACTTTAATTCCAAGAAGCTTATTTTTAGAGACTTACAAGATTAAAGATGAAGTTGTCTGTTTCAGTAGTAATACACTGGTCTAACACTCTCATGACAGTCCCTGATAGGCAGCGAACATATTAAAATTGACAGAATACCCTGTGAATGGTTACTTACCTCTAGAAATATAAATTCTGAAATCTTCATCTTAGTTTTTATCTGTGAATTTTCCTCCTGCATTTTTACACTATATAATTTTTTACTGAAATGTGTGCATACTGAGATCTTTTGTATCTTGAGACTTAAATTGAAAAATCTCATATAAATATTAATATACTAATTTGTCATTTTTGATC